AGGCAGAACGGTGTGTTAGAACACGATGTGATATCATATGCTTAATAAATAAAATATATGAAACACGTGTCCGCGCTTTATAAAATTGTTGTGTACATTTGGGGTAAGTCTGCTTATCTATTATATATGTATATAAAAGAAAGTCGTGTTAGTTACATTGTTTATAACGCAAGAACGGCTGAACCGATTTGGCTGAAAATTGGTGAGGAGGTACCTTAGAACGGGGAACGTGGAATTTGACATAAAACGTGGTATTAGAAAACGCAAATGACATAGAATAACAAAACGCAACTGACAGGATAACGAAAAATTTATCAGTCAAAACATCAGTCTAGCCGTTTATTTGTTAAAAATGGTATAACAAAAATTCAATCTCTGTTGGGGGGAGGAGTGGTGAAGAGGAGTTGCAATGCAGTTGTTAAATGGAACATATATTATTTGTAGTCAGATTTACTTGAAACTTGGTCATAATGGGTCTCATTTAATTTTTGAAAGACCTACCTCGGCATTTTAAAAAATTCAACCTCCAAATGGGGGTGGGAGTGGGTAAAAAGGTGTTGCACTTTTTGTTTGGAACATACTTCATTTGTGGTTGAATTTACTTGAAACTTGGTATACATGCTGTTTGATATTACTAATCAAATGAAAAGAGGTTGCAACGTTTCCATGGGGTACATTTTATTTGTGCTCGGATTTACTCGGTGTGCTCATATTGGCAGTTTTTAAAAATCAACCCTTAAAGATGAAATGTTGTTGCTACGTTTGTATTTGAAATCTAAGATGACGACATTACATAAAATTAGAACGTTGTAAGGGTGAATTGGGAGTTAAAATGTTTTATGGAGAAACAATATTAACTTCTGAGAGCGAAGCCGCGGGGAAAAGCTAGTAATATTATAAAAATAAGTAACACAATGCCCTACAAAACTTTTTTGCATGAATGTATTGGAACATTATTTAACGGATTTTATGCCTTTAGTAAGACCAGTAGTCATTGTATTACTACCCACTAATTAATTTCAGTTCCTATCGTAAGTCCGTGTTCCTAGCGCCGTGCTCTAGGCGTCGCGCGACTTTTGTATGCTCGTAGCGTCGCAATTATGTAATTAATGACTACAATCTATGTACAATGACTTTACGTAACATTAATATTTTATGTTTATTTGATGCATCCTATTGTATTTATGTATAAATTAAAATGACTGCCACTGTTATTTCAACAAGTCAGCTAGTCCTAAGCCTGGATTTGTGTTTAAAGTATCATACAAGAGAATGTATTTATAGGTCATTTCTTTTTCATGACAGACCTAACAGTTCAGGTCTGCTGTAATGTAGTACTGACATTCCAAAAAGAGCAATTTTAATATTGTTTAATTCGTAGATAACGTATCCTTTGAACATGAAACACATATAGATCATCTGTACTTGGATGGTCCGATTAATCAGCTTAATTTTGAACATATTACTAATGAAGAAGGTGGAACTTTTGAAAATTCTAATTATTTCAACAATGTCACATTCAAAGATACGGTACGTATCTTCTTATTAACAGTACCTAACATAAAACCTTAAAAACGTATTTTAAATTTAAGGTCCACATCAAAGGAAACTTAACAATTTCGAATTTTATAAATGGTATTAATCTGAACGACTTCTTGGACAGTATAGTTTTCAAAAATGTCTACAGCGAAATAAACGGATTAGTTATTTTTAAGGAAACCGTAGATATTACAGAATCACTTTTTTCAAATCAGAATTTATTAAGCAGATATGTATATGATATTGATTTACAAAGGTGGCAAAAAGAAGCTGTGTACATTAACAGAGGATATATATCAGGTAACCAATTAACTATTAATTACTAGTAGGTAATACCTATTGCTTCGATTTATTCACACGGGAATCGTATGGTCTTTTTTTTTCTAAAAATTCGTCAATAGATTGACAGATTATTTACTTTAGTTTCTTTTTTATCAACACCATTCCAAAGGATACCGTTAGATCTTTACGAAAAGTGATCCTTTCTGAAACTTTGGATTCTGGTAGTTTACGACGTGTAGATCGAAAGTCTCAATAGTCGTAAAACCTCATCTTTTTGATATTTGGTCTCTTCCGCAAGGGTTTCTAAGATACCTAGGATACATACGGTGGTTTGAGACTTTCGATATGCACGCCGAGAACAATCACAATCCAAAGTTTCAAAGAGTTGCATAGAGGGTCTTTTTCTGTAGGGATCTAGCGGGGTCCCTTAACAGTAATTACTACAGTCACCCTGTCGAGTAATTGCGGTAGGAATACTATAGTAATAAGGCGCTAGGGGTAGTATCCACTGCGATAGGCGGTAGCATAGTGCTAAGACCCAATATTAATATTGAACTGCATTAATTAAAAAGTTGTATAACATAATAAGAAAACCATTATTTACAAGTATAATTAATTTATATAAAACATTTGCGAGATCCTTGGTACAAAGTGATAGACGCATTCAAGTCCTTATGTAATAATATATCATTTTAGATTTAAAACATCCAATTTAATATTACATTTATTGCAAGTGAGGGACTTCAACATTTTTATTGTGCATCTACGAATATGCACATAAACTAAAGCAATTCTTTTGAATAACTCTCTGATGCACTTTATTTACATATTAAATGCCAAATTTTATTAAACCATCTCCTAAATCATTGTATACCCATATTGCGATAAGTTTGCTGATTATTTTACCTTAATGTAAAGATTTCTTAGAATATGATGGTACTATATTGATATATCTATTTAGATCATATTACATTTGATGACGTCTTTGTACGGGGTGACCTCACAGTGAAATACCTAAACGATATCAATATGAAAAAAGTAGTACTTACCAAAACCGACGAAGATCTCTACAGCGATCTCGAAGTGGGACAGGCAATCTTCTTCAACGATGTTCAAGTAAATGGGACTGTCAATGGTCGAATTCTGCAAGAAGAATTTAGACATTCTTTATTGGTATGAATGTGTAAACACTGAAATTATTTTCAAAATAATTCTGCACAATAATTGCAAAAGTATCCGATACAGGTATCTGGAAATCAAGAAGTTATATCTCCTATTACTTTCCACGGGGCAGTATCCATCCTGGGCAATTTGGAAATTCGTAAGCCTGTTAATGGCCAAAATCTAAATAGAGTTATTACCATTGCTACCGAACAAAATTTAACCGGTGGCTACATATTCGATAACGATGTTGATGTTTTAAAAAAATTTGTAACGTCCGGACGGATAAATGATATCGATTTTGATGAATGGAATGAACGAAGTTTGAAGAAATACCGAAATGGCAGCCAAAGTATTTACGATGAGTGGGTTGTTAAAGGAGAAATTAATTTTAAATCGGATGTGGACAGTACTGGTCTCTTAAGCGGACTTGATATCGTAAAAATGGCCAACGAATTACGACAAATGAAGAAAGATTTTTCCGAAAAACATCTAGAAATTGTGAGTTTAAATTGTAATGATCTGCAAGTAGTTTATCTCTTACAACAAACCTATAATTAATATACAATAAAATCCTGAAAGTATAATAAGGCCAAAACGTAAAACATTGTCTGATGTAGGTACAATAAAGTGGTTTAACAATCAGTAATAGAACAAGATCCACATTTAAGGTAAATTGTGTAATTTCTGTAAACAAAATTTTATTATTAAGAGTAGAACTTACAATATATCACACCATATTTCTCCATCTTACATCGACACGGAATGCTGACTTACCAACCGCTCAGCAACGACTGCTATGCAGTAGCGGACGGTTCTTTAGCCGAATGTGCCCGAACACGACCTGCGCAACAACCCACGCGCTTACTAGCTATAGTCAGAAGCCTAAACTAATAACTAAGTTCTCACTTAATTAACAATAATTAAACTAATTTTTTATTTTTTAGTTTATATTAGAGAATAAAGAATTAGAGAAAAACGTAGGCATTTTTTAAATGCTTGCAATGTTGCAAGTGAATAAATTATGCATACCTTACAAAACAGTTTTATGTATACATACCGACGAGACGATATAAAAGAAATGAGATTTTTTGTGTTAAGGAAATCACTATGTTTTTTACAATTATTTACATTCCATTTATTACTTGCTTTAGGTGGATGCAACTAGAAACATATGTAAAGATGTTAACTATGTATTGGCGGCCGCCAAAAAACAAATATATTTCTTCAACTATTTCGAACAACTTGAAAGTATCAGTTTATCTACATCCATTGATACTGTACATCATTTTACGGTACTAAAACAATGTCTAAATTATTTTAATTATTTCTATAGCCATTTCCCATTCTAGCATTTAAACCAGAATTATTTACTAATTAACGAAATAAATTCTTGCAATTCGAACATGTTCAAATGGGAGAATTCTGAGTTTGTGTACATTAATACTATTGAAACTGGTACCATTGAACAAACTGTATCCATTTACGACCAAAAGTTTCTCTTGCTGGTAACAAACACTAAAAGAAACTCAAGTTGTCCAAAGCACGGAACTTTTGTTTGGGAATTTAATAACGATGATTTGATCGTAAGTAACTGAGTAATTTTCATACGACAAACGTGTGTCTATACCAAAAAAGTGAATGAAAATACAACTTATTGTTTCATCTTTAAAATATTTGTCATAGTCTAATGAGAGACCTTTTAGCAACTGCATACTTTACCAGAACACAGACAAATTCAACAATCTCTTAGACCTAGAACGTTTTACGGATTAACAACTGACGGAGCCGAAGTGATTGAATATTATGCAGCTGGGAATGAAGTTATTAATATAAAAAGATTAACAAAATGGAGAGGTGGATGGATTGAAAATGCAAGTAAGTTGTTATCGAAAATTAGGTAACTTGCAGAATTCTATCCTAAAGTCCTAAAGTCCGTCGAGTCCAGAGGAACATTTGAAGTTGCGCTCTTTTGAATTACATATTAAAAAATTTATTAACTAATTGGTAACTCACTTAAAGTCACAAAAACGAAATAAACGTGTATTGAATTTGCTTAATTATCAACTTAAAAGGTCACACAAAATTAAAAACATTACAAAGAATGAGGAGGCATTGTTATTCGGGCTTGATGGATGATGACCATGGTCATGGTTATAAGTCATGAGCATGATATTTCAGAGATTGGATGGTGCAATTTTTAACTAGCACTCTTCAGAAAACTGTTTTAATCTAATAAAAAAGTAATTTCTGAACTTTCTTTTACATAGACGAGATAATCAACTTGAGGAATCCCCTAAAATATCGCGTTGTAAGATAAAAACGTATTCACCAAATAAATATTATACTACTTACATACAAACTAACAAACTATAAGGAAATGTTTCCAGTCAATTTTTCGTATGGAATTCCCCGTATAGTCAAAAATCATGAAAAATCTTGCTAAAAACACTCGGTCCCTTCTTTCCTAGTTTTTTCCGGTTTTACTCGCCGAGTCTTAGGACAACCACAAGGAAAGATTTTACGTCACTGTCATGTTCCCTGAGAACTGAACAGGAAAGGTGGCTTCGTTTCTGAATTTACCAAATGAACACTAATCCTGGACTACAGCAATTAAGTCCGGATATCAACCCCCTTTATATAACGACGGAAGCAAAATCCTTTTCCTTTTTATTAAAAAGAATGTACGAAAATGTGGTTAATAATGTCGTTAAGTTAATGGTTAGGTAATTAATTAAAATTAAAAGTTTCATTTTGTTTTTACAAATTTTTACGTCCCCGGCCCATGTTCCTGTTGTCAGCATTTAGTTGAGGCGCTGTTAGTTTCTTAAGAAAATTTGAGAATTTTGTCAATAATTGTATGCAATAACAGAAATATATATATACTTATTTGATATTGTTTGTAATAATTTTGCAAAAAGTCAAATTGTAGTCAGGGGCGTACGCAGGATTTTCGTTCGGGGGGAGAGACTAATTTTTAATTTAATTATGATTATTTTTGTATATAAACGACCTAAATTTATTCTTCATAAAATTGTGTATAAAATTGCTAGAACACATCAGTGTGTCTATTTTCAATTATAATTAACCGTTCTCTTTTTATTCACAGTCTGGTCAAAATATCTATCCTCTATTTCCAATCGCCCAAAAACGCACGCTTGCTCGTTTAGATCCCTTACCATATTTCTTACAAAATTAACATTCCTTTCTGTCATTACTCTGTATATATTTCTAAAGATAAATTTTACGACTTTTCATATGAACTTTCTCATCTGTAAACAGATTCTTCACTACCAATTGTTTTTATTGTGGTGTTATCACTTCTTATTTAGGGTATTCTTTTACTTTCGGGGTTGGCGGAGGCGATAACACTATAACCCCCTTAGGTAGCCTTCATTAGTTATAGTTTGTGAGTTTATTTTTTATATTTCCAGAAACTTTAACCTTTCTCCCTAGAGGATTGGGCACAGGTTTAGCTGTTTATGATTATAGAACATTGTACCGGTTACTTAGAGTTAATAAACCCCGAGATGAATTCTACGATTACGATTATGAAGCCATAGAAATAGGTACAATCATAACTCAAGAAAACTGTTGTCTTCCATCGCTTAGTGAAAATTCCGATATGGAAATAATTCACGTTGGTCACGGCGATTCAAAGAAAACAATGGTTGCAATTGCTTCACACGAGGAAACCAGTATCAAAGGAAAATGGGATAATATTAAGGTAATATTACAAAATTATTATTAGGAGTACATTTATATGTGCCATCATTTTTTCATAGCTTTGTCTAGCTATAACTCTAATTTGTTTATTGCAAGGTTCGCAAGTGTGAGCTAGCCTGAAAATATTATTAGACTGCTTTACTGTTAATTGTAATACATTCCTAACAGTAGGCTTTCCCAAGTGTTTTTTGAAAGAATAATTTGAAGTGAAAACAGCCCTATTATCCATTTTGGTCCTACCTATGACTTAGATTTCCGAGAGGAAATTAACTTTCAGGCAGCCGTATGAAATTTTCCAACTTCTGCTATCGTATCGGATAGGGCTATTTTTGATAAATTCGTCTATATTTTAGTAAACGCCATCTGTAGCACGATGCTACATTTTAGGATTACCAACAAGGTCCACTTGTGTGGATATCAACTTGCTGAAAATGAATTCCGGCGTAGCCAACCTCAACGTGATAGGCACGTTACCATAATCGAATAAAATAATTCGAAGTGGTCTGTATTCTGTCGAAACTGCCCGACGCGGATCGCGATTTCGATCTTTTTGGATCTCATCAGCGCGTCGCAGAATACAGACCATTTCGAATAAGCTAACGTGCCTATCACGTTGAGGTTGGCTACGCCGGGATTCGTTTTCAGCAAGTTGATATCCACACAAGTGGACATTGTTGGAGCATACGTAATCCTAAAATGTAGCATCATGCTACAGATGGCGTTTACTGCGCCATTTGTAGAATTTTCTAAAACGCTCTGTTAAACAGCAAGTAAAAGTTGGTCTGTGTTCTGTCGGAGCTGCCTGCGAGGGGCTGATGAGATCCAATAAAATCGAAATCGCGATCCGCGTCTGGTAGTTTCGACATAATACAGACCATTCCGAATTATTTTATTCGTCTATATTAATTGGTCTGTACATACGCCAAAATTGTGAAGTGTTACCGTTTTGTTTTTTAGATTTACGAAGATATCTTAAACGGCAAAGTGTTCCATAAAATTTCTACTTATAAGCCTTCTTCCCTTGTTAATATTGAATTTGGAAACAATGGTGAATCGCTACTAGTGTTTCTGGAAAATCAAGAAGTCCTACAGGTTTACGAATATAAAGGTATGTTATGTACAACAGCAAAACATTTTTCAGATTTCGATACGCTACCTATGTTTATTTGTATTATTAGGAATCGAAGGCTTTCAAAATCGATTGTCCAAACAAATTACAGGACAACAGCTTTTGCACTTTTCAATCCAAGAAAGCGGGGACATAGAAAGAAAGCTTCTTCTCGTCATTGGTCGGAAAAAGGTTCATGTACTGGAGGCAATTACTGAAGGAAATCAACTACGTGAACCTGATATTGAGTGTTGAAATTTGTGTTTTTCTTTGGTAATTTGTAACAAATTATATTGTTGTTTATGTTTTTAATAAAGTCCTATCTTTTATAACCAACATTTATTATTAACTTCGCGGCAGCGTGAACAAGAAGTATTATCGAGTTCGTAGATCATGATCTGATTTTTTTTTTATAAAATTTGGTCAAATCGTTTTTTGTTTAAGGGTAGATTTGGGGATTTCCTGAAAAATATCTATTAATGCACCTATGGTTCTTTACAACTTATACAGGGACGTTGACCGTGTGAACTTAGAGATTGAACCTTTTATTATAAATAATACCAAATTTCAAAAATTAAAAAAAAAAAACATTTGGAGTAGTCTCACAATGAATTCAATTTGTGAATTTTCTATATTTCAACATACATCACCAAGTGCCAAGCGTCTCAATTATCAATACAAAAAGCGAACTATACATGGGCGTAGAAAAAGGTATTTCCAAGGGGAGCAGATTTTCAATAGCTAATGTGTTTGGTTTCTGTTTTTAAACTTTGTGCCGATATCATGTCTCCTCAGAGCCTTTTTCAGGGAGTATGTAATTAACTTGCCAAGGGCTGTACCCTCTCTTGCTTCTACGCCCATGACTATCTATCAAATGCTATAGAAAATTATGTCATTCACAAATACAAAACTATTTCAATATTTACTATATTTTCAACTAAAAACACAATGATTAGTGCTACTGTTTTTCTATATACAATAAATTTAAATGAGATAGACGTTTATAAGGAATTTAAAATTTGAAGAGGTATAATTGAAACAGAAAATAATAACAAGCTTGATTTTTTAAATGCAAGTATATTTAGCCTGTATGTGAATAACTCTAAATTATATTTTAACAAAAACAACACAATATATTATTTACATTGAAATTTTGTTCTATAAAAATTAACGATCTCTTCGTCAACATCTCGATCGCCAGTAAGAGGAACGGTTTTTATAAATTCTATAAAACTTTTACTGTCGCTGTCTTTGAAAAAAGAAAATTTTTCAACTGTGATTTTCTCGCTACATGTTTCACTTGTTTGTTTTGGACAGTGTGTGTTACTTTCCGGACATTCAGCGTTCGTTTTATAAATTTCTTGATTAACATCATCGGCAAATTTAACTACAGACAGCTTTTTCTTGATTGGTTCGCTCAATTCCTCGCAAGAACACTTTTTATCTTCGACTTCATCATCTTTTAAAATAACTCCTTCATTAGTTGAAGATGCACTCTCTTCCTCTAAAACACCTTCTGTACCATTATCTTTTAATTTTTTCTTATTTACCTTATGGAATAAACTTCCTGCTAAGTTTTTGATTAACTTCGGGATTCGTTCTTTTTGTAATGGATGGTTTGATATGTCCGAACCTTTTTTTAAAGATTTATGAAAAAAAGTTGGGGGTATGAGTAATCCCGATATATCATCACTTTCAGGATTGATACTGACAATTTTTTGATGTACGGTTGTGGTTTTGATTTGTTTGTTGGGATCTATTTTTACATGAACGTCAAAATAAGGGACGTTTGGACGGAGCAAGTGACAATCGTCTAGGAACGATCCAACCTTATTTGTCATAAATGTATTTTGCGAATGCGATGTAATACCACTCATAACGTTTAAAAATGGAACAGAGTTGACGTGGTAATGTTTTTCATCAACGCTTTGAATACCTTGCCCAGAATAACACGGATCGTAGGTATCCTCATTGTCCGAAATATCATTATTAATTTGAAAGCTTTTACTTGACCTTCTGAGATCTATAACACTGTTAGAATTTACATTTAAATTTTCCTGGCTATAATTTTCGTGACAAAAGGAGTCCACCATATTGGGGCCGTTTTCGTGGTGGTAAATTTGATCTTCTTTAAGCGATTTTCGAATACTGTCGAGACTATTTGAATTTATAGTTATTTCTATGGGTTCCCTAAGGGATTTTCGGCTTTGTGTAAGATCATCTGGAGACAAAGACGATGCTCTTCTAGGTTCCACAGACGATTTCCTAGCGTCGCTACGACTATCTGAAATTGGAGACGTTATTTCTCTGGTTTCGCTTAATGATTTTCTAGGATTTGTAGAACTATCTAGCGATTTTCTATTGGTGGAACTATCTAAAATTGGAGGTGATATCTCTACGGGTTCTTTGGATGATTTTCTGGTATTTGTAGAGCTATCTATAGTGTAAGGCGTTATCTCTCTTGAACTTTTAAGTGGTTCCTTAACGTTCAGGAGGCTTTCTGAGTCTGAAGATAATTTTTCTCGGGATTGCCTCAACGTTTCCTTATTGTTTACACGATTTTCTGAATAACCCCGAGATGACAACTGTTTGGATTCCCTTGACGATTTCCTAACATTGGTCAAACTATCTAAAATTGGAGGTGATATCTCTATGGGTTCTTTGGATGATTTTCTACTATTTCTAGAACTATCTATAGAGTAAGCCGGTATATCTCTTGATCTTCTAAATGGTTCCTTAACGTTCAGGAGGCTTTCTGAGTCTGAAGATATTTTTTCTCGGGATTGCCTAAAAGATTCCTTATTGTTTACACGATTTTCTGAATAACCACGAGATGACAACTGTCTGGATTCCTTTGACGATTTCCTGACGTTGGTGAAACTATCTGAAATTGAAGAGGATATCTCTATGGGTTCTTTTAATGATTGTCATGCATTTGTAAAATTACCTAAAACTACAGGTGGTATTTCCCTAGATTTTTTATACGATCTTCTTTCGCTTGTTAGACTCTCCGAGTCTGCAGGGATTGTTACTCGAGATTCTTTAAAAGATCTCTTGGTGTTTTTAATATTTTCTGAAGAAGTAGGAGGAGATCTATATCTTGGTTCCCTTAATGATCTTTTGTTACTACAACAAGCTGAAACTGGATGTGATACCTCTCTAGTATCCGTAAAACTGTTTAAAACTACAGGTGGTATCATTCTGGGTCTTCTAAATGATTCCCTTGTGTTTACGACATTCTCTGACTCCGGAGGAATTACTTGAGACTTTTTAGACGAGGTTTCAGTATTCGTATGACAACTTAAAATGGGATGTGGTCTCTCTCTCACTTCCCTAATCACTTTCTGACCAGTAGGCTTATCTGCAGTTGCATAGCAGTTATCGTCAAGTGGCAATGCACCATCGTTTTTGATACATCTTGCAGACTTACTTCTCTCACAAAATTTTTTGCAATCTTTACAAAACGGCTCCTCCGAATTGTAACATTTAAGGTCACTGGAACTATTTCTTGAATAATCACAACTTGTCGATGGTCGGTGATTAGAGTAACCTACGCTTCTGTCTTCAACAGTTTGTAGTCCAATTTCTTTCACGTCATTTGTAGAAACAGTAACTGACTTACATGTCGACCCTAATGAAGTGCTTCGCTTAGATCTTGTGTCTTCTATTTGTGGGATATCTCTATCGATTATTTGAGAAGACGATTCGCAGACCCATTTCTTCAATTTACCTCCCATTACAAATTCAGCTTGTTGAAGACCATGCTCAAGATGCTCTACCTGAGCTTTGATACTCTGAAGTTGCATCAAAGATTCTCTATAAATATCTTGCTGATTCTGAAGTTCTTTCAATAGATTCTGTGTTGTATCATCTGGCAGCTGATTTGAGTCGATCCGTTTCCTAATCATGATTATATTCCTTTGACATTGTTCAATTAACGGAACAATACTTTTGGCGATGTCGTATTTTTTATGAAGATCGCCTTGGATTTTAAAAATACGGATTTCTTCTTTCGATCTACGAGGCACTGTATCCATAGTCCTGCATGTATTGGGAGGACTTTCTTCTGAATCAAGACAAGAATCTAATTCCTCTTCATTTTCAGGCGTTACTGCATTTCTTAGTAATAAGTTTAATCTCTCTATTCTTATGTTAGAAAAATATACGGAGAATTAAGTTTTTGTTTCGTCGTGTTATTATTGTCGTTTAAAGGTATATCAAATTGCATAGGAATAAAGTAGACAATAATTACACTAATTTATCGTGTCAGAATTAGTTAAAGTATTGATCTCTTAATTTTAAATAAAAGTCGTCGCGGAAAAATTAATTTTAATAATACGAAAAAGAAAAAGAAACTAATATAGAAGGATACCAATTTCCTCGTCTTTGCCTTTAATTATACCCTCATAATCGCAAAAGGCTTCGTTTTTTTCTTCTTGAGATCTTAAGTTAGCCTTCAAATGGCATATTTCGCCTTTTAATAAATTGAAACAGTGCTGAATTATCTTCATATTAGGTTCGATGTTTGGACATGATGTTTCATCTGAATCTATCAAATCGCTAACTATTTCCTTGCATTTTGAAATTTCGTCATCAGTTAACGCGGTATTGCCCTACAAACATTTCAGCTTTGATTCTCAATTACTATTAACTCTACTCTTATTTTTGGACTTAAAATAAATAAGATTTAAAATATTTGACTAGAAATATGAGAAGGTTGTAGATTTTGTAAGAAATAATAACTTTAATTACACTCACGTCATCATACGGACAGGACTGTAACTTTAAATGATTTCTCAAATTTTCAACTTCTTTTGAAAGTTCGCTTATTTCTTGATAAGGGTCAAATTCTTCATTAATATACGCATCTGTACTGACCATCGCAACCCTTTGAGAAAATTTACAGGTACTTAATGTTTCCTACAATAATATTAAAGATATCTACATTATAAGGGGCTGAAATCTTACTTCAAACATTTTCAGTATCACCCTGTCTTTACTTTAGTATAACGAATTTCTTTTAAGTACAATTTCAATCGATTTACTTGTAACTTTGAAAATATTTTTAGGTTACAAAATACCTGTCATTGTATTTTACAGCCAATAAACAAGAGAATAAATGATCATATAATTATTGTATTAGTTTAACATGTCAAATGAGATGTGTAGAGTTGGTTGTCTAAGAACACACATGAAATGATAACTTTAGTTCATTTCGAATTTATAATAATTGAACTGCTGTACATAAGTATTTTCCTAAACAAGATTAATGTCAGAAAGTTTAAGTTGGACATGCGACAGATTTCAAAGAGTGCGACCATTTATCTCTACATAAGATTCGTTAAATAAAGTGTAAAATAAGAAACAATAGAAACCATTTTGGTACAACTTTTGAAGACCATAACAACTCATTAACTAACAAAACTCAAATATAGAATGTGTACATAAAGTAATTCTTTAACATTATAGACAAAATGAATGTACAAGCCAGAAGATTTTAATTAATTTAGATTAATACCCTGCGAAGTATCTAGGAATTCAGATAAGTCAGGACGGAAGGCGTAGTAGGGATATAAAATAGAGAATAATGCAGGGTCGAGTCATCTTTATTAAAAAGAAGTCACTTGTATGCTCGCGATCGGTTAATTTAGAAATTCGAAAAAGGTTGTTATGGTGTATGTTTGGAGCACGGTGCCGTACGGGTGCGAAACATGGACAGTGGGCGCGAGGGAAAAGAAAAGTTAAAAGCGTTCGAAATGTGGTATTACAGGCGAATGATGATAGATGGATGGATATAGAAGGTTAGAAATGAAGAGGTATTAGAAAGAATAGGAGAACAGAGGACTCTATGGATGTCAATAAGATATAGGCGAGATAGGTTAGTAGGACGCCTTCTCAAGTATGAAGGGATAGTTAAATACAAATTAAAAGCAGAAATATGAGTTAAAAGTAGTAAAGGTAAACCTAGATTGTTATTATACATTATACCTCTTTAACTCCAAACCTTCAGAGTATGCCAGTAATAGTGAGTTAAATGTGTAATTTCTCTGCAAAAGGCAGAATTTCTCATATTCATTTATGTTTAAAAACGCGAACATTGGAAGTGAATGCAGACCTTACGTTGGTCATAAATTTTTGGATAACAAAACAGAGCAATATTCTTGCATAAAAAACCTACCTAATGACCACATTTATTATGTGGTAATGCACTTATTGTTATAAATAATTGGTGTAGACAACTTGTGTACATATGTATAATACGAGTGTGTCGTATAATTACCCACTTTTACGCTACCTACATTGAATTAAAATGAAATTCTTACTTCGAAATTGTAAGGACTTATGGTAACGGTGGCGAGCATGAGTGTGAAACAATTTCCGCCCAACGAGTCCTTCAATATGTTGGTCATTATGCTGTTTCGGTACGGGACGTGCGACCGTTTAGCTTCAGATAACGCCAAAATCACCTGCTCCAGGTAATAGAGAGACAGGTTAATGCTTTTAGCTTCCATTAGTGTCACGCCAGTTACGTTCGACTTGTATATGCGTTCCGATCTAAAAGTATGACGTTTGTTATGAGAAAGTAGAACCGCATAACTGTTTACCCGCCATTTCTGTAACTTTCCTGGCGTTACTTTTACGAGGGTGGATTGATAAGTTTCCGGCCTGACCAAGAAAAACAAGGTTTTTAAAATTTTTTTTTTTTTATTTCTCAACATAATCTCCTCCAAGGCTGATACATTTCTCATAGCGGTGTTCCAGTCTATTAATGCCATCTCTATAGACTGATTCGTCAAGCTCCTCAAAATAACCATTTACAGCTTCGATTACTTCTTCATTGTCCGCAAATCTCTTACCGCCAAGCCATTTTTTGAGATTAGGGAACAGAAAATAGTCACTCGGGGCTAGGTCTGGAGAGTAAGGAGGGTGCGGCATCAATTCAAACTTTAGATCGTTGATTTTAGCCGTCGCAACGATTGACGTGTGCGCTGGTGCGTTATCGTGATGAAACAAGATTTTTTTCTTCGCCAGATGAGGTCGTTTAATTTTCACCTCGTGGCTCAAACGTTGCAATAAGTCTGCGTAGTATTGACCAGTGATAGTATTACCCTTTGCAAGGTAATCAATGTATATAATACCTCTTGCATCCCAAAAAACAGTAGCCATAACCTTGTTCGCCGAAAAAATTGTTTTTGCCTTCTTTCGAGTTGGTTCCCCTGGTCCAATCCACTGTTTAGACTGTTCTTTGGTTTCAGGAGTGTAGTGGTGGACCCACGTTTCGTCAACGGTTACGAATCGACGCAAAAATTCGCTTGGATTACGCTTATACAATGACAAATTTGCGGTAGAAATGTTTTTTCGAATCAATTTTTGGTCGACTGTTAGCAAACGCGGCACCCATCTTGCACAGAGCTTTTCCATATGCAAATGTTGGTGCAAAATATGTTGCACACGTTCATATGACATCTTACAGGTCTCAGCTATCTCACGCACTTTCAATCTGCGGTCTCCCAGCACTATTTGATGAATTTTTTCGATCATATCTGGAGTTGTGACCTCAACGGGGCGTCCTGAGCGAGGCCCATCAGAGGTGCTCACACGACCCTTTTTAAACTCGGAAACCCACTGCTTAACGGTTGAATATGACGGGGAGGATGTCCCCAGTGTTGAGTCCATCTCTTTTTTAATTTCCTTCGGCGTTAACCCCTTCAAATAAAAGTATTTGATGACAGCACGATTTTCCTGCTTTTCCATTTTTACGAAAACCACAGAGGCGTCTTGTTCAGCGTGCTGTCAAACCTACACTAGCAAGGAGATCGGGCTGAAACTATAGCTACAAGCTATCCAAGGATGGTACTATAGAATGTCACCTCAAGGTAGGCCTAGTGGCGTCATCTCTTGGTTAGGCCGGAAACTTATCAATCCACCCTCGTATAGGGTTTAAGTCACACAAATTGCATAACATACTAATACACTAATAGGACAAAAAAAACAAATATCGCAATTACAACTTCCATGTACTTGTTCTACTTGGTTAATTTTATTATATCTAATAACAAAACGTATATAAAGAAATCATCAAGGTATCATTTTTTGCCAAATATGTTCGAGCTCCCTTCCATTTCACTCGGCCCAATATAGGACATTCTCAGAGGAAAAATGCAAGAAATATTATGTAAACTTAAAATAACTTCATTTATTCAATATCTTTAGTATCTATTAAATGAATGAATGAAACCGATTAATAATAAAATGAGAACAAATACGGATACCTTAAACAAAATAAAATTCAATGGTAACATTCTAAATTTTAGGTAGCTTATTATTAACCAAAGCATCGCAATAATTTTCCGTCAATCTTTCTGGAGGTTTTGCTTCAGTTGAAGGGTTTTTCTAACAGAATATCAAATATGATGGTTTGTTTAGAGAACTTTCAAAAAGAAACAATACATTTGGTATTTATTACGTTGTGATTAATGTCGAAAATGAGATTAGATGGGCCAACCGAAATGCAAAGAAGTACAATAACAAAAATCCTTCACAAACAAGAGAATATATATGTATATTGTTCTGATCGAGAATTTATAATTTACGAAAATATATTACATTAAAAGCGATGGTCAAAAATAATATAATCAATGTCTTAAAGATAAAAGTGAGAACATACCCTGCTAAATCTACCAGATTTAATTTCGATCTTCTGATCTTTCCCGTGCCTCCAACCCAAAAAGATAAGTAAATAGTAAAAATACAATGAGAACGGGAAGAAAAATCATTTGAGGGAGTCTCTGCAATTGTCCTAAAAATAGTTATAAATGATAATTTCCTAAAATTGCTAAATTATAAATTGGCATTTGCTTCGTAAATTTCTGCCAAAAAGCAAGCTTCTTTTTTATCGAATTTTTTCGGCTGCCTAGATTACTTTTTGCAGTATTTTTTATGTATAATTTAATTTGCTGTTAATTAAAAATATACATGAAAGTTAAGTTACATTAAAACACATAAAATGAATCCCAATAAGTTACTACTGTGTTTACTAATCATTTGTGCCTCAAATTACATCTAATGATCTTCAGAAACTTAATACCTGTTATGCCATTTTACCTGTTAGTATCCCCTAGGAATAGAAGCCTCATTGCTTCTTTTACACTCGATACATTATGAACACTCAGGTTTCTCAAGTGAATTTCTCCTTTACTGTCCTCTAAAAGTACTATTTTTCTGTAAATTAATGTTAAAATAAAAGTTTCGAAACTGAGCTATGGACTGAATGAAGTTATTTCTTATTTTGGATCGTTCAAGTAATCTTTCAAGGGAAGAAATAAGCATTTCTTCTTTTTTTGTTGAAAAAGTTGGACAGGCGGTTGAAAAACACCCCACAGGATACTGGGGGTAGCTTCGAAGGGAGTTTTTGAAATAGAATAACTCAGCTGTTTCCTAATTTACTAAAATTTTTATTACGAAAAACGAAAGCGTAGATGTAACCATTCAGTTATTAAAAAAAGAATCATCAAATGAGCCCAGAATAATGATGGGCTATGAGGGTCATTTTCATTTCAGTGGTTTTGTTAACAAATGAAGTGCAGATATTGGGAGGTAGAAAATACCCATGAATTGCGTCAAAGCTCACTTCACAGTCAGAAAGTTACCGTTTGATGTACTACAAGCTGGGCACAAAAAGGGTAACAATATCTTTAACCTCCGAGCGGTTTATTTCAATGTTGATCCCAAAGAAAAAATTAATTAATTAAACACAATAAGCAGTTGAAGTTGTTTTTTTTCCAGATTTTCACCCTTCATTGTTAAATAGTTATATCTAAGCTTTTATTTTTCGAAATAAAACTTTTTGTAAGTTAAAAGACATCAAGAGTTATCCTTACATCGAAAATGCCGGTCCATTATACTTCACCTTGTGCAAGTCTTTAAACACTAAGCAATTAAAATTATTAATAAAGTTATTCTGCATCAGTTGTAGTAGAACAAACAGAATAGCTCAAAATCCCAACGCCAAAACACGACACTGTAGTTGTCCGAAGCACTGGAGTTCACTTCAGTCCATGAAGAAGGTAACTTTGTTACCGAAAAGTGCTTCGGACAGCTACAGTGTCGTGTTTTGGTGTTGGGGTTTTGAGATATTCTGTTTGTTCTACAACAACCGCCAAAGTTTTTCCAATCTTCATATTTAATTAGTTATAGTATTATAAATTGTATATGTTAGATATCGAAGTATATTTTAAAAATATCACTCATGTCTTATCTGCGAAATGCAATTACCGTACTTCAGCTAACTCTAGGAATGAAGGGACTAGGACTAGAATGACTAAAAATGGATTATCCTTGAATGACACTAACGCAAGTTTAAAATATTTACTTTTAGACTAAAATATGTTGTTGAAATGTTTTAAGCAATATGATTTTATCTGAATTCAAATTTTTCATTAAACACGATATAAAATAGTTTTTATCAATTGTTGTGAAAAGTAATCAATTTTCCGAGAAATTTGCAGCATTTGATCTCAGGAAAAATTATCGTGCAATCTAAACATTTTGGATGTATCATTTAATGTACTGCTCTAGAACTCTAGACCCTAGACAATTTGTATTTGAAGTAAAATAACACGAAATCTATACTCTTTTTTAATATTGATTGTGTGGGTTCATTAAGAATTCATTTTTGCAAAAAAAGTTAATGTAAGACATCAAAATAATTGCTTATTTATACACCTGCTTTTGGGGAATTGTGAATATTGAAGTTAATTTAAAGAATTGATAATTGAATACTCAAAAAAATCGAAAGAGCTTACGGTAACTGCTCAAAACAGTAAGCTTGATGTTTCGAATCTAGCAAATCATATCCGACTTCGTTATATATTTCCATGTACGATATCCCGACGCAACATTTCTCGCAACACTAAATATTGGAAAATTAGGATTTATTTATCTCCCGAAAATCCAAAAATATACTTTACTTGTGAACCTGAAAACTTGCTCTATGCTTCGAGGTATGATTCCTCTCTCGCTGTAGTCCTCTGGCGAACCAGTAATAGTGTATGTCTTACCACTACCTGTCTAAAACTAGCGGTTTACATTTGCACAGTAAATTTTATACAGTTTAAGCCACGTTACCTGCCCATAAGCAAATATTGTCCCGTTGAATCCATTTAGAAAACTACAACGAAATAATTAATCGCTACAAATTGTTATTCTTTCATAAAATTGTGTCAACTGTTATTACTTACGTGTGTGAATTAATAAGGAAGAAGGGAATAAGAAATAATTAATTCATACAAAAAAAAAGAAAAGAAATGGTAAGAAGCGTTCGAAATATGCTGTTATCGGCCAATGATAAGGATACCTTAGATGAGGAGATATTACAAAGAGTATGAGAACAGACGGTTTTATGGAAGTCAATAAGAAATAGTCAAGAAAGGTTAGCAGGACACGTTCTCAGTGAAGAGCTATTAGAGACGCACTAGAAGCAGAAACAGGAGTTAAGAGGGGTAGAGATAGACCTAGATTAGATTATTGTTGACAAATAGTTAAGGATGTCGAATGTTATAGTTGTAGGATAATGCAACGATTAGTTCACGATAAGAAACACTGAAGGTTTATCATACACAACCAGCCTAAGACTTACGACACTGCGGTGATAATGACAAAAAGAGAACTTTTAGGGCTTAAATGTAATACTTGAATTAGACCAGACATGTTTTCGCACAGGTGGAACCGCGGAGAACAATCAATTTAGTAAGAAATGTATTCGTGTGCAGATTATTTTAGACCCAAACGAAATGTTTTCAAATTTTAAAGATGTCTGATAATATTGTTTTGTGAAACATCCGTGTTGCGTCTAGCTTAACCCATTTCTTTGTATTAATTTCATACATACCTATTAATAATAGGCTGTGCTATGACTCCAAATATTTGTTCCTGTTTTGCATTTATATCAAAAACATTAGAAAATCTAAAAAATAAAAAGGAATAAACACGATGTACATATTGTATACATATAGTGAAGTTCTAATTTGTAAACACTTCAGGATAAATGACTTCTACACGTATATCATATTATCAATGAAGTAAGGATAAATATCATTAAATTGTCTTTTGGATAATTTACGGGAATTACTACTTATTACGTCAATTCGTTCATAATTTTTGGCAAATTTTAATTATTATAACTATAGATATATGTATAATACCGGAAACCTTCAAAAATGGGGTACATTTATTTTAGGGCTGCACTTACACTGCAGTAATTACGGAGGTCACACTTGCAGGTTTAGCACGTACTTGCAATTTACAAATGTGCAACAATTTAGTAGCAGTTTAATGTAAGAGGATTAGGTTTCACCCTTAAACAAACTGTAATCTAAATAAAAAAAATATCTACTTGGAGATTACGACGTATAGAAGAAACGTACGTTAAATTGGAAGATAAATAGGAATATGAGCAAAATGAATCCATGTTATAAATCTAATATTTATTAACTTATTGTGCAAATTCTAACTGCAAACACTGTAAATTTTGTAAACTGCTACACTTCTTTATTAATATGTCGCAACTGTTGCAAATGGGTGCTAAACTGTAAATAAAATACTAGCTAAGTACTCCATTAAATGTAGGATGATGTTTTCATCAATATTTTCTTCATTCTCTCAATTTTTTCTAGATACTACAAGGAGCAGTTTCCTTTTTCGTTATCTCCCAACTTTGATACATATTCTCACTTATTTGCTTATTTTAATAATACTTAACTGATGAAAATATTAAGCATATAGGTAGATAAACGGGTACCATAAATTTTAATTTCATTTTTCCTTAATTTTTTTTACGTTATGGACTCTTTCAACTACCGTAAAAACACTCGCTACAGTGTCATAACGCTTTCGTTAGTATAGGGACATTACTAGCAAAACGCCGCACTCTGATAGCTACGAACTTCAAATTACATTTTGTACATTTTTTTGAGGACACGATAACTACTTTAACCTTTAAAGGCTTATGAATATATTAAACCTCCGTAATTGTTCATTGCGACACTAATTTTTTATTAATAAAGACAACAAAACTTTCCTAAATTTACACCATCTCCCTCTTCTGCAGCAGCTTCGTGATGATTCAGGCGTTTCAAGACACAACATTTCATGACAGCTCTCTTTTTCGATAGAATACTATAGGGAAATAAATTCTATGTTAAGCATTGACTAATTTACAAATCAATTACATATTATTTCTGTAAAAACGCCGCGTTCATCAACATCGAACATAATTAAAAAAATTGTACGTGTAAAATTCCATGTACAACAATTTATGATATTTAATTTGCAGCTAGCAAGTGAAAATTTAAGTTGGCAAGAACTTATTAATTGAGTAAAACTAATTAAATGCAATTCTGGAATATAATTTTATGTAAATATTTAAATTTAACCGTTGATATGTGAAATAAATTCCATCGAACTGAAAGTAGTGGACAGTAAATAAATTTTTAAAATCAAATTGCAATAAAGCGAAGAATTGCACAGCAACATTATCTTTTCTGTGACTGATTTTAATTTTCAATTTAAACTGAAATTTCTATAAAAATCTTTAAAAGTACTGACGAAAATACTCGAACGCTTACCGCTACTTTACACTTCGGTTGTTTTCCCCCCTTGATTCTAGCACACACTTTAATTCGATTTTTGACCATTTTGACAAATGAAAAATGCCATGAACGACATTTACACTAGAAATAAAACAATGCCTACTCTTTCGTATCAATTACCAATTATTGAAACAAAAACCAATGAATGTTTTTCAATCCCTATTTTGTTCCCTTAAAATTAACAGTTCATTTTGAGATATTCAACTTTAAGGTAGGTAATTTACGAACCCTTTTGTAACTTGTGTAAAAATGTACATAATTTGGTCTCATTCAACGAATTCATCAAAACATCAAAGTACCACGATAAACTTTACGTTAAAATACTGTCGCCCCAAAGGACTACATATATGTAGAGAGTCAATAAATGTGTTAATTGAGTTCCGATGTCTGAGACTTTTCCTGAATGTTCTACATCTACAGGGTTCGAGAATGTTTTAGAATTTTCTAGAAAGGTTGAAAACGTTCCCTAATTCGACTTGTAATTTAATAAAATTGAATAGAAGATAAATATTAGGACACTGGCCTTTAATTAATCATACAATTCCAAAGTGAATGTCTATATATATATAATGAATGCAGTTTTTGTACCAGTAGGTAATTTTCCCTAATCAAAAAAAAATGCCTAGATGCGCAATTAGATTATTAGGTAAATCATGGAACAATGCAGCAATAAAATTTTATAAAAAGATGCCTTATCAGCAGTGTGTTTATAGATAAGGCTGAAAAACTTATTTGCATGGAAATTTTGGTGCAGTTACTCGGCACGCGTTTTCCTTCTCGCTGCGGAAAATTATCTGTTGTTTGGTGCGTAGGAGTGAGTGAGTCCTGTACATACGCCAAAATCGATTACGACCTGCGCATTTTAAAACAACCCTTAGAAGCTTGCGCTAAACAGGATGGACCACTTTTTCACCAAGGTTCGCAAAATTTACTTTTCATTTAAGTCATTTACAGTAAATTAGAACATGTTAGCATAGTTGGTTACTAAAAATTTTATCAATGTATAATATGCCAGTTACAATTTATAGTATGTAATTAATATATAGAGGGTTGAGGTGGAAATTTAGAAATTTTCAGGTACAAAATAGCCCTAATGAATATTCTACAGTCTCAAAATGTATCTAATGATACTTCTTCACATATTAGTTAAAAAATCAATTTGGAATTAAAAAAATTGTTTTTATCTTCACACTTCAGTTATTTAATACAAAGTAATAACAAAATCGTACAGACTCCAACACAGGAATAAACTTTAGATCATGCTGTTTCCCAGGCTCTTTGGTATTTAGGAACAATTACAACAATAAGCTAAAAATAACGAAGAAAACATTGTTTAAAAACGAAATCCAATATATATATTTTTGTTGTAGGTTTAATAATATCTATCAGTCGTATCTACTTGAGCCAATAAATGAACTTTTTTTTTCATTTCCATTATAAAATTTCGTTGTACCTACGTACTTGCCGAAAAAATCGTAAATTTTCAACACTTCAAATGTTTCATTTTCAAAGGCGTATAAATATGTCTACCTCATATTAAATTTGTTATTACTCACAATCAGTTGAATAGATATAATGCTATCAAATCCTATTATAAAAAACTGACTGCTATCCAAGAGAAATCACAGTTGCGTTATTGGAGTTTACATCATTAAGACTTGTGGAAATATGGGGTCATTTTTAATGAAAAATTCAGGTTTTCTGATGCTACCTAGCCAGAAGCTCCTATAGACCAACTTTAATGTAGTGCAGAGATTTCAAAATTTAAGATTTTATATATTTTAATAAACCTATACCCAAAACATATCCTTATGAGGGTAAAAGGCTTGCCCAAACTTTGGTGGAAATGCAGTTATCCAAAGTCCGGAACTATACGAAGGATAGAACAGGAATCACAGAGCAACGACCGGATTTAGTAAGAAAACTCTTTCGTGCAAAGTATTTAATATTTAATGTGCGGATGCGAATAATTTTATTTACTTAAATGTTTTTCAAAAACGATTTTGACAGAAGCGTGAGGTGATAGTGGGTGTTGATTGTGGATACCTTTTTTGTTCTACAATTCTTCAAAAGTGGAGAGCCTGGTGAGTCAGTTAGCCGGCTTAATTATCGTCACCTTTAAAAATTATTTCAGTGCTTTTACTAAACGGAAGCCACACAACAACGAAAGAAAGTTTTAATGCAATTAAAGGTCGATATTACCGTTGTAGTGTTTTGAACTAGAATCCGATGTCGTTTATTGGTTCTAGGATAAAAAGATTTGCTTAATTGGATGAAGACTTATCTCATTAACAAGATGACTAAATCGTACTCTATTTACATAATATGAAAGAAAGAAAAACTTTATAAATGCTAACGATCAGCAAGGATTCAACATCGTAATAAAACAGTTGTAAGAAGTTTGCTCGATTGTAAAGTTGTTTTTATTTTGATCGATGGTTGTGTTTTGTCTGGCGTTTGTATTACACTTGTTTCAGCTGTTTAAAAAAGAGAAGAAATTCAGATTAGCAGATTTCACTGACCGCAAACAAAACAACCAACGCGAAAACGAAACGAGCGACTAATTTCATTGTTTTCAAGCAATGAATGTTCTATTTTAAGAATCCTTGCATCATCTGCACTCGAATACTTAAAAGTAATTATGACTATGCCAACTTAATTCAATAAAATTATTGTCGAGAATGAAGATTACTTTGCGTTTACAATAAACTGCACCATTTGTCATGATTCCAAGTAATTTTAGTAAATGATAAATAATGGAGCCTGTGGACCATCTGCAGTTGCAATATTGCAAACTTTTATTACTGTAAACTGAACGCAACCAAACAAATCAGTTTATTAAAGTTTTCTTGAAGACAAAATCATATTTATAAACAATTCTCGGTTTAATAATACTTTTACTAGAGATCCCCGGATAACTGAGTACCCGGAAAAATCACTACGGTTAATGGTTCATGTCTTTGTTCTGGGGGTCTGTCCATTACATATACCATCCTCACTAACGTCTGAAACAATATTAAATCCCGTTTAAAAATTCGTTTAAACCAATGAAGTTTTAATTTTCGATTGGCGGATTTTTAACGAAAGGGTTGAGTTGAAATCGTGCAATAAACTAAAAATATGCAAGGTGACCAATTCATACTAATAAGTTGTCGTTAATCAAAATCGGATATAATATATCGCATTTGTTATGAGTTATGAGTAATGGATATATATCCATTAACCATTACTTTTACTGTGAATAATGTAAATAATTTACAATACTCATTAATTTCGTGATGGTTAATGTAAATAATTTACATTACTTATTACTAAAGCAAAGGATAATGCGATAATGTAATGTAAATTAATTTACATTATCCATTATTTTTGTTAGTGTTTGAAATATTTTCTATTACAAGTACATAATTTTTCGCAACGATGATTCCGAATAAAAATGAATTATGTAAAAGTAATGAGACTACTCCGCAAGGGATTTACTGCAATGTTAACTAATTGTAAAAGGTTTTTACTAAATAGTTTACCTATATAATGAAGCAATTTCAAGAAAGTATATCAGACTATTATTCTTTTGTATTGGCAATAATAAATAAACTGATTACATAAATACACAATTATTAAGCTACAGGAAAGATTAAGACAGTTCTTCTTTGCTAATTTCGTAATAAATAATATCAAACTTCTAACAACATACATAGAAACTATGAAAATCCACTACTATCAGAGTTATTATATTTCCAAAATTATTATTTTAATTTCTGTGACTTACATGCTAAATTAAAATTAAAGTTGATTACAATGTGGAAGTATGTAATTTGATGTAGGTAATAGCTTGCAGAATAGTTTTGGTCAGAAAAATGCCTTTACCACGGTAGCTTGTCGTTATTGTTAATTTTAAAAGGTTTTTAGTGTATTAAGTTTAATAAAAAAAGATTGAAAGTTCACAAACGATTATTAAAATGTGTGAAATGTTTTGAAAGTAGTGCGTGGCTATTGAACCTTTGAACAAACTTAATAAACCCAACCAATTTTCTCCAAGAAATTGATTTTTTTTAGTAGAACATGAATAAACACGTAATTCAATCATCTAAGAATGAATTTGTTATGGCAGTAATTTCGTTACTTCCTGGTTCTTTAACGAACGAAATAAACATTTGAGGAAATGATACACGTAAGCTAGAGTAGGAGCTAAAAAAAGCATAGTTGATATTCAACATGCACAGATTCTCACATAAAACAGTGACATAAAATAACAATTCGTGCATATGTACGACAGAACTATTTCCGTTGAGGGGAAATTGCGGCTCAAAATTTAAACAATGCTGGAACAGAAGGTACAATTATTCCAAAAAACAAAAGTGATCATAAGGACTTCTTTGGACTGCAGTGCTTCACAAAATAATATCTAAATAATCAAATGTTCATTAAGAAAAAGTAAACATGAAATTTTCAATACACTTGCTGCTCTACTCCTGCTAGTATATTTCGAAGTAATATCCGAATTTTAATACTTTTAAATGTTCTTTACAACTTTTTTAAATCCATTAAAACGAAGATGCAAAAGTCATGTATTTGCTATTAAGAGTGCAAAAAAGATAGCAGTGTCATGGAGTTTTTTATTAACATTTTTATGTAAATGAAGGAGCATGTGTCGCGCATGTTATGTCCAAAATTAGAAAACTAATTGCTTCACTAACATAACAACCTTTCAATTTCTCCATGTGGCAAATTTGACAGTCACGTCTAAGAAATACATTGTATCGGGTATCTGTTGGTAAATTTTATTTAAAGATAGGTACATGGGGTAAAAGTATAGCACAAATAACTAGGTCTGTGTATAATGTTATTGTTTTTCATTAATAAGTAGATGTGGATTATCCTATAAGTACGATATGACTTTTAGTTTTGTAATTTGTTAGTATTTACTGGCAACTTCAATTCTTATTGTTTATAATAAATCGTTAAACACCTCGGTCTAGATCTAGAAGAATCTCGACATAACTGAGCCCTGAATTGAATAGGGTTGGAAATTCAAGGATTCATTTGGGGTCTGGGCCTAGAAGTGTAAAGTTCAAGTTCCAAAATGTCTCTTGGCTCTTAGATCCCTAATTCTTCAGAGTCCAGAGTTAATGTTAACCATTTTATTGATATCAATTAACCATTCAATTTTTTTAGATAAGAAATAGGTAAATGTAAATTATTTTCTGTTGCTTATTCTATCTTGTTGTCTCTTAGAATCAGTACAAGGTTGTAGGGATGTAGAGACTCGCACAGTCAAACGATAAACCCTGTGTATGATTACATTATACTCGGTTAGAGTTACGTTGGGTCGCGTGTTAAATTCTTTTTTCAATTCTCGATTTGTCAAAAACAGAAATTAGATTTTATTTTAGGATTCAAACATAGGATAAACTAGTCATCTCTAACCCATACAATTAGTCATATTCCCTTAATAAAGAGGTAATTATTTTGACATTATAGGCAGTTCAATTTTGTATAGTGTCTATATTTTTATTTCCCAATCAGTTTATTACAATAATCGTATAGATTGCAGCTGATTAACTCTGTATATGAAGTTATAAAACACTCTGTAGATACATACATACGTCTAAAGATCTGTCAACTAATAAAAAGGACTTGAATGCAGCCTTAACGACTTTATTCTTAATTACGCTTCTTATAAAACGATAATAGATAAGCTCGCAATAAAGAAATCTCCAACATAAAGCGAGGAGGGCACGGTAATAAAGAGTATCCGTAATGGGTATAACATGTACTATATTTACTTAGCAGTAAACTATTAACTTCACTAACTCAAAGCGTTTAATTTTTCTATTGCGATGATCATTGGAGTCAAGCTGTTCAGAAACGAACAATGTTCTTTAACAAAGGATCTCCTGGATGCATACGTATTTACATAAGTTGATTTTATTAACAATTTAGGCGTTAAATGTAATTTATAATACAATTCTATTCTTTTTATTACCTTTAAACGATGCTACACGGGGCTATTCAAGTAGAGGCCAGGTAAAAACATGAAATGAGTGGTATATGCTATATGGTAGGGTGCTACTTTCATGTAAATTTTATTAATTATCTTGAAGTAAAAAAAATTATTACTGTCGGTTTAATGTGGTGGTCAGTATTCCATAAAATTGGTTTAATTAGATCCTATTGAAAACGAGTGATAAATAGTTTATTATAACATTAACTTTTTAAAGAGTAACATATTTAAAAAGATGGAATTGTTTGATAAAAAGTTTTATATTTCCTAAAAATCAGTAGGTGACATGATTACATCCAAGCTTTTACTGTCAAAATTTAATTGCGTGGTTCACATTGTCAGGGGTGCAAAAAAGCACATAGGGTAGCTTTTATCCAGAAAAACTATTGTTCTCGAGGGACAAAAAAAAATTAGTTTTATGTGGTAGATTTCACGCCTTAACTACTCAATCGATCATTATGAACTTTCGTAGACACATTTTCAGGGGTACAGAAAAGGGCATAGGGTACCTTTTATCTAGAAAAAAAATTTTGTTCCCGGGGGATAGAAAAAAAAAATTGATTAATGTGGTGGATTTCACACCTTAACTACTCAATCGATCATTATGAACTTTCGTAGACACATTTTCAGGGGTACAGAAAAGGGCATAGGGTACCTTTTATCCAGAAAAAAAATTCTGTTCCCGGGGGATAGAAAAAAAAATTGATTAATGTGGTGGATTTCACACCTTAACTACTCAATCGATCATCATAAAATTTCGTATTTCAACATTGTCAGGGGTTCAGAAAAGGACATGTGATCGTCGATGATCATTGACGCGCATTTAGAACATCAACGCGAGCAAAGCCGCGGCTAAAATGTAGTATTTAAATATCATAACAAATTGTTTTTTTTGTATAATCGAACTTTAAAGCAATTACAAGGCTAGTTTAATTTAACGTTATCGTTGTCGTACATTTTTTGTAAAACGGACAGTATATCTATTACCTTGTACTCTTTTTTCTGTTGGATTACATGATAACAGTCACATTCCCGTAATACTACATTTAATTTTAAAATGAAACCATCACGAAAATATTATTTCTAGATATTTGTTGTTCATTATAATCTGTAAGATTCACCCTAGAATAGCTGTTTAAAAAAAAATCAGTTCATTAGCTGTTGAGCCAAATTTACCATTCTTGAAAGGCAGATGGGTATACGAAAATAGACTACCCTTTTTTTAAACAGGTGTTATAATTCCCAAGTAAATATACAAAGGATTTAAAAATAGAATTATTACTTTCCTTTAGGATCCGAAATGGTAAGATCATTGCTGAGATAAAATTTAGGTATTGATCAATAAAATAAAAGTATGCGCCCCTGGATAACTTGCATTTACCAACACCTACAATTTTATTTTTAAAGCTAATTTCATAATATTCCAAGATGCTCAACCTTGGATCATTTTCAGAGCCTGTCTATCATAATTTTGGGGACGCACTCTAAACATCATCCACTGTCACTGAAAACGAAAATGAATGAAATGTTCGGTTTTGTTTTACATTTTCAAAAGAAAAAACAAGAAATTATCATAGCCGCTAATGTCTCCAGCCATCCTGGGGTCATGCAATGAAGTTGCTCGTCCGTTCGGACGATTCTCGCCCAACCACTGAATGCATTTTAATAACTTTTCGTTGTAACGTTAATTATTCCTTCCTATGTTTCGACACTGCAATTGCAAAAGATGATAAGGTTCAATGATTCTTGTGGAAATAGTTTTCTCATAACTCAGACAACATATTTTGACAGAGCTCTCACCGTTGCGGAGAACAATTTGAGATGCATCGAGGAAAAGGAGTAACAGTCAACACAACTTTACAGTAAAACTGTGGGTAATAAGCTGGATACATAAACCTTAATCATTCAGTCCTGCAAAATAATTTACTTCCTTAATAACGAACCAAAAACTCTAGCTCTCAAGGGCAAAAGTGCAGTCAGGACTACTTAAAAAAAGTAATT